AAATTTAAGTGGGCATCCTGCTTTTAAAGTTCTTTTGTTATTTTCTTTTTTTTTTTTCAAGATGGAATCTCACTCTGTTGCACAGGCTGGAGTAAAATGGCGTGATCTCGGCTCGCTGCAACCTTCGCCTCCTAGGTTCAAGTGATTCTCCTGCCTCAGCCTCCCAAGTAGCTGGGATTACAGGCACCTGCCACCATGCCCAGCTAATGGTCTCGAACTCCCAGCTTCAGGTGATCTGCTCATCTCAGGCTCCCAAGTAAATTTTGTATTTTTAGTAGAGATGGGGTTTTATCATGTTGGCCAAGCTGGTCTTAAACTCCTGGCCTCAAGTGATCCAGCTGCCTAGGATTCCCAAAGTGCTGGGATTACAGGCCTGAGCAAGCGCCCAGCCCTACTGTTGTTTTCTAAACCTGCTCCTGTGACAAACAAGTAACCTAATGCATGTTCATACTGTTCTGTATCCTAAATGGGATGAGTTTCTTAGGTGTTCATTTTGCTCTTATGCTTCACAACTGACATACACCAGCTATCTATTCTTTGATGTGTACAGGTAGTATGTAATTGTTGTTCCCTATGCAAATGTTAGTCAGTAGGTTTGGATAGTAATTTCTTCCAGACACCTTGTCAAGCCATAAGCAAGCAGATATGCCTTCTCCCAGTTGGCAGTGACCCACGTGTAGGGAGGCACAAGGCTGTCCCCAGGCTGGTGCTGGGTGCCCTAAAGCTCTGAACCCTTCTCCTTCAGGCCCAGTTCCATCACTCACCTTTTACACTCAGCCAGATGTCCACCTCCCTCACCCCAACGGGGTTGTCAGCCCGGCAGACATAGTAGCCCTCGTCCAGGTCCTGGGAGCAGTTATGGATGGTGAGGGTGGAGTTCTGGCCGTCCTGGGTAATGAGATGGCGGCTGCTGGGCTGGATGACCACCTCGGGCTGGGTAAGGTTCCTCAGCCACAGGATCTTGGCAGGAGGGTAGGCCCCAGACACCTGGCAGGTGAGCGTTACATTGCCCCCCACGAAGCAAGTCTTCATGGGCTCAGAGAGAACGGAGGGACTCCCTGGTGATCAGAAGGTGAAGAAAGACAAATGCTTAAAGAGATCCAAATCACGGCCTGAGATCTTCAAGAAAATTACAGTAGTCCTTTTTTGAAATGTAGTTTTTGCTCTGTTGCCCAGGCTGGAATGCAGTGGCACAATCTCAGCTCATTGTAACCTCTGCCTCTTTCCCAGGTTCCAGCGATTCTCCTGCCTCAGCTTCCTGAGTAGCTGGGAATACAGGCATCTGCCACCACACCTGGCTAATTTTTGTATTTTTAGTAGAGATAGGGTTTCACCATGTTGCCCAGGCTGGTCTCAAACTCCCAACCTCAGGTGATCTGCCCATCTCAGCCTCCCAAAGTGCTGGGTTTACAGGCCTGAGCCACCGCATCCGGCCCTAGTCCGCTTTATCCATGATTTCACTTTCTGAGGTTTCAGTTACCACCGTCAACTACAGTCCAAAAATATTAAATGGAAAATTCCAGAAACAATTTTTTGTTTGAGATAGAGTCTCACTCTATCACCCAGGCTGGAGTGATGAAGCAATTCTCCTGCCTCAGCCTCCTGAGTAGCTGAGATTACAGGCACCTACCACCATGCCCGGCTAATTTTTGTATTTTTAGTAGAGACTGGGTTTCACCATATTGGCCAGGCTAGTCTCGAACTCCTGACCTCAGGTGATCCACTTGCCTCGGCCTCTCAAAGTGCTGGGATTACAGATGTGAGCCACTGTGCCTGGCTGATTCATAAATTTTTATTTTTTCTTTTCTTGCAGTACTTTTTAGTATATTCACAATTTCCTAAGTTTCAGTTGCACACTGCTCTGAGTCATGTGATGAATCTCGTACCATCCTGCATGATCCTTTATTTATCACAAGAAGGCTGAGTCAATATTTTGAGAGAGAGACGACATTCACATAACTTTTATGACAGTATATTGTTATACTTGTCTATTTTTTATTAGTTACTATTGTTAATCTCTTCTTGTGCCTAATGCATAAATTAACCTCATCATAAGTATTTATGTATAGGGAAAAGCACAGTATATATAGGGTTCAGTGCTACCTACAGTTTCAGGCATCCACTGGGAATCTTGGAGCATATCCCTTGTGGATAAGGGAGGAACACTGTATTTCCTTCCTAATGAAGCAACTCCAGAAATTTCTTTTTTCTTTTTTTTTTTAATTGTAACTCCCAGTGTTGTGGGAGGGACCTGGTGGGAGTTACAATTCAAAAAAAAGAGTGCAGTGCTGTGATCTTGGCTCACTGCAGCCTCCACCTCCCAGGTTCAAGCGGTTCTCGTGCCTCAGCCTCCCTAGTAGCTGGGATTACAGGCGCCCACCACCATGCCCAGCTAAGTTTTGTATTTTTAGTAGAAACAGTGTTTCACCATGTTGGTCAGGCTGGTCTCGAACTCCTGACCTCAAATGATCCGTCCACCTTGGCCTTCGAAAGTGCTGGGATTACAGGTGTGAGCCACCACGCCTGGCCAATTCCAGAAATTTCTGCACCACACCTGGTCTTACATAAAAATAAATCTAACATTACTAAGTACTTACTGTGGGCACGGCACTGTCACACATATTAACCCAATCCATTCTCACAGCAACCCTGTTATTATACCCATTTTCCAGATAAGGAAACTGAGGCACAGAGAAAGCTAAGTAACTTGCTCAATGCTGCACAACTAAATAGGCAATGCAGCTAGGATTCAGAGTGACCAACTGTCCCCATCTGTCCAGGACATGGAGTTTTCCCAGGATGTGGGGTTTTCAGTCCTAAAACCAGGGAAGTTCTGGGCAAACCAGGATTAACTGGTTACTGTATGTAAGAGTGAAATCCAAGCAGTCAGGCTTTTACGTAGTCCACAAGTTTTCCTTCTATGCTATACTTCTACCTATAAAAACTGTACTGATTGTATAAAAATGGACAAACATCTGACAAGGATTTCAAGGGGACAAGAGGGCAGCTGTATTTGTTTCCAATTGCTGATGTAACAGATGGTAACAAACTTAGTGGCTTAAAGCAAACACATTTATTCTCTTACAGTTCTGGAAGCCAGGAGTCTGGAATGATCTTACAAGGCTAATATCAAGGTGTTGGCAGAGCTGGTTCCTTCTGGAGGCTCTAGAACAAGCTTGTCCAACCTGCAGCCTGCAGGCCAAATTCGGCCCAGGATGGCTTTGAATATGAGGACGTTTTTGCTCATCTGTGGTGGTGGATATCACGAAAATTATGCACGGACCCTTTTATTTTCGCTCATCAGCTATCATTAGTGTTAGTGTTCATGCGAAATCCACTCCCATGATCCAATCACCTACCACCAGGTCCCTCCCACAACACTGGGAGTTACAATTCAACATGAGATTTGGGTGGGGACACAGAGCCAAACCAGATGATGGAGTTTCGCTGTGTTGCCCAGTCTGGCCTCAAACTCCTGGGCCCAAGCAATCTGCCCGTCCTCAGCCTCCTAAAATGCTAGGATACAGGCATGAGGCACCATGCCTGATGATCCTGGCACTTCTGATCTCCTTCCCCCCTTTTTTTTTTCTTTTTGAGACAAGGTTTTGCTCTGTCACCCAGGCCTGGAGCCCAGTGGCACAATATCGGCTCACTGCAGCCTCATCCTCCAAGGCGCAAGCGATACTCTCTTTGCACACCACCAAGCCCAGCTACCTTATTTATTTTTTATTTTTTGTAGAAACAAGGTCTGTGTTGCCCAGGCTGGTCTCGAATTCCTAGCCTCAAGCTATCCTCCCGCCTCAGACTCCCTAAGTGCTGGGATTACAGACATGCGCCACCATGCCCTGCCTTCTCTCTTCTTACAAAGACAGACACCAGTCACTGGATTACAGCCCACTTTAATCCAGTATGACCTTATCTTATCTTGATTCCATCCACAAAGACTGTTTCTGAGTGAGGTCATATCCACAGATATCAGGGTTTGGACTTGAACATATCTGTTGGGGAGACACAACTGAACCTCAACCTCCATCTAGCTTCATCGATATTTTACACATGACATCCTGGCCATACTGGTCTTCTCTTGGGTCCTCAAATGCCAAGTTCGTTTCCACCTTAGGGCCTTGGTGTTTGTTGCTGCCTCTGCCAGGAACACTCAGCCCACAGATCTTCACCTAGCCAGCTCCTTCCCATTCTTAGATTATTACCACCTCAAGGAGACCTCCCTGTTGAGAAACATTAAATTTACCCTGCTCCCATGGAAGATACCTTTTAGTTTGTAATTAGTGGTAAGCAGGTAACAGCTGCCTACTTGGTAGATTCTTGAGTTATGTGTAAATATAGAACACCTGTGTATTAATAAGAATCACCTGTATAAGAGCAACTAAATACACGGATGAGAGTCTGCTCAGGGCCTTCAGTCCTGGAGCGCTGTCAGCCCCGCAGGCTCTCAGGCTGTTGGTCCACAGGATAGATCCACTCTGTTGTGCTATCTGGGTGTCTGCCTCTCAAATACCTTCAGCACCACCTGGGTGGGGGTCTCCCGACTGAGCTGGTTCTTGGTACCTCCCTGCCACCCTAGGAAAAGCGGCCCTCTTCTTAAAAAGGCCTCTCTTTTATACATACCATTTTATTATTCTCATATTATTATCATATCTGGACCTATCTTACTTGTTTTTGTACTTTCTGGTTTTTTTTGAGATGGAGTCTTGCTCTGTCGCCCAGGCTGGAGTGCCATGGTGCGATCTCGGCTCACTGCAACCTCCACCTCCCGGGTTCAAGTGATTCTCCTGCCTCAGCCTGCTGAGTAGCTGGGATTACAGTCATGCACCACCATGCCTGGCTAATTTTTGTATTTTTAGTAGAGACGGGGTTTCACCATGATGGTCAGGCTGATCTCAAACTCCTGACCTTGTGATTCACCCGCCTCAGCCTCCCAAAAGGCTGGGATTACAGGTGTGAGCCACCACACCCAGCTGTTTTTGTACTTTCTGTCTTCCTTCTACCCGCATGCCACCCAGGATATAAGCTCTGTGAAAGAGGAATAGGTGTGGTTTTAAAAATATGTACATTCTCTGATACAACCCCCTTCAAAACGCGGTGCCTAATTCTTCCCACTCCTCTTGAATGTGGGCTGGACTCATTTCTAATACATAGAATGTGGCAGAAGGGATGCCATGTAACTCCTGAGACTAGGTCATAGAAAGGATAGCGTCAGCTTGACTCACTCCAGCTTGGATCATTTGCTCTGGGGGAAGCCAGCTGCCATGTTGGAAGGACACTCAAGCAGGCTTATGGAGACTCCCGCATGGAGAAGAAATAGTTGCCAGGCTTGGGGTGAGCACTTCAAAAGTAGATCTTTCAGATGATTTCAGCTCCCCCCCCAACCAACCTTCAAGTCTTCTGGCTGACACCCCAGACATCACAGGGCCAAGACAAACCATCCCCAATGCCCACTGTGTCTTGTCTGAATTCCTGATCCACAGAAATCATGAGATAATTAATGGTTATTCTTGTTTTAAGCCATTATGTTTGACGGTAATTTGTTACATAACTAGATGCTATAGTTTGAATGTTTGTCCCTTCCAAGTCTCATGTTTAAATTTGATCCTTAATGTTAAGGCCTAATGGGAGGTGTTTGGGTAAGTGAATTTTCATTCTGTTAGCTTGGCCCAAAAGTAATTAGGATTTTTGTCATTACTTTTGCGCCAACCTAATGTTAGCACTGGTTGTTTTTTTGTTTGTTTTGTTTTGGAGATGGCATTTCGCTCTGTCACCCAGGCTGGAGTGCAGTGGCACAATCTTGGCTCACTGCAACCTCTGCTTCCCAGTTTCAAGTGGTTCTCCCTCCTCAGCCTCTAGAGTAGCTGGGACTACAGGCATACGCCATCATGCCCAACTAATTTTTTTTATTTTTAGTAGAGATGGGGTTCATCATGTTGGCCAGGCTGGTCTTGACTCCTGACCTCAGGTGATCCACCTGCCTTGGCCTCCCAAAGTGCTGGGATTACAGGTGTGAGCACTGAACCCAGCCAGTGCTGTTTGTTAAAAAGAGCCTGGCACCTGCCTTCTCTCTCTTGCTTCATCTCTGACTATGAATCTCTGCACGAATTGGCTCCACTTCACCTTCCATCATGTACAGAAGCAACCTGACGCTCTCACCAGAAGCCAAGCAGATGCTGGTGCCCTGTTTCTTGCACAGCTTACGGAACTATGAGCAAATAAAGTAATTTTCAGCCAAACACGGTGGTTCATACTTGTAATCCCAGCTCTTTGGGAGGCCAAGACAGGTGGATCACTTGAGGTCAGGAATTCAAGACCAGCCTGGCCAACATGGTGAAACCCTGTCTCTACTAAAAATACAAAAGTTAGCTGGGCATGGTGGTGCACGCCTGTAGTTCGAGCTACTCAGGAGGCCAAGGCAGGAGAATCACTTGAACCTGGGAGGTGGAGGTTGCAGTGAGCCGAGATCATGCTACTGCACTCCAGTCTGGGCAACAGAATGAGACTCTGTCTCAAAACAACAACAATAACAACAAAAAACTTTCTTTATAAACTTCCCAGCCTCAGGTATTCCTGCACAGCAACAGTAAATGGACAGACACAAAAGATGATGACCCTCATCGGTCTTCACTGTTCCATCCTCAGCACCTAGAAACTGCACCTGACACATAGCAGGTGCTCAATTAGTATTTGTCAAGTGGAAAATAGCTTGGACTAGAACCAAGAAGCTTGAGCTAAGCATCTCTAAAGTTTGAAAGGAATGAAACATAAAGTAAAAGAAAGGAAGAAAGGGAAGGAACTCAGTCCACTCTGACATCCTAGGATTTCTTTCTCAGAAGAACTCTGAAATGCTTCTCCCAGGAGAAAGGAAGGCAGCTGAACTCCAACCCCAAAATGAAGCAAAACAGACTCACTGATCTGCACCACACAGCTGGCACCCGCCTCTGGCCCAACGACATGACTCGCAGCACACTTGAACTTCTTGCCGTCCGACAGCTGGGACTTGTTCAGCATTTCCACCCCCAGCTTTGACTTCCCCACGATTACACCTCCTGGCTCTTCTATCCACAGGAAGTTAGGGTCAGGGTATCCCCCAGCCCAGCGACAGGTGAGCTGCAGCATGAACAATCCTGATGCCATCTGTGCTCGGCACTGGGGAGCTGACGGAGGGGGATCTGCAAAACACCAGAGGAAAGCATGGGCTCACTCACACGCTCTAGGATCAGCCACTGGGCTGGCTCTACGACTGCAGAACCAGGGTCTCAGAGAGACATCAACCCCAGTTAGTGTAGCATCCAGTGCTCCTAGCACAAATTCCTACCTGACAACAGTCAGGTTTCCTCTGTTGGGTGTTAAATCTCTGGGGACCTGGGTCTCATTTGCCTTTGCATTTCTTTTTTTTTATTTATTTATTTTTTGAGACGGAGTCTCATTCTGTCACCAGGCTGGAGTGGCACAATGGCTCACTGCAACCTCTGCCTCCCACGTTCAAATGATTCTCCTGCCTCAGCCTCCCAAGTAGCTGGGATTACAGGCATGCGCCACCACACCCAGCTAATTTTTGTATTTTTAGTAGAGACAGGGTTTCGCCATGTTGGTCAGGCTGCTCTCAAATGCCTGACTTTAGGTGATCCACCCATCTCGGCCTCCCAAAGTGTTGGGATTACAGGTGTGAGCCACCGTGCCCAGCTTTGCCTTTGCATTTCATATTTATTTACTCATTTATTTAGAGACAGAGAGTTTCACTCTTGTTGTTCTGGCTGGAGTGCAATGGTGCCATCTCAGCTCACCACAACCTCCGCCTCCCAGGTTCAAGTGATTCTCCTGCCTCAGCCTCCCGAGTAGCTGGGATTACAGGCAGTCACCACCACACCCGGCTAATTCTGTATATTTTTAAGTAAAGACGGGGTTTCTCCGTGTTGGTCAGGCTGGTCTCAAACTCCTAACCTCAGGTGATCCGCCCGCCTCAGCATCCCAAAGTACTGGGATTACAGGTATGAGCCACCGCACCTGGCTTTTATTTTATTTTTTTAATACATACAGGCTTTTGACATGTTGGCCAGGATGGTCTAGAACTCCTGGCCTCAGGTGATCCACCCGCCTTGGCCTCCCAGAGTGCTGAGATTACAGACATAGTGGTTTTTGTCTAAGATATTTGTGTATGGGAGTGTTTGGTTAGTGTTTCCCTACACTAAAATAAAGATTCACAGACCACTGGTTCATAACAGTGCTAGAAGGCCCAATGCCAGTGATGGCCACACTGGGTCTACAAAAAGAATGTATACAGATGGATGAATGAACAAATAAATCATGGTCCATCCGTGCAAGGAATGGACTATTATTCAGCCATAAAAAGGAATGAATTACTGATACATGCCTCAACATAGATGAACCTCAAAATCATAAGGCCAGGTGATAGGCCAGGCATGATGGCTCACACCTGTAATCTTAGCACTTTGGGAGGCCAAGGCAGGCAGATCACTTGAGAACAGGAGTTCGAAACCAGCCTGGCCAACATGGTGAAACCCAATCTCTACTAAAAATACAAAATTAGCTGAGCATGGTGGCACACACCTGTAATCCCAGTTACTCGGGAGGCTGAGGCAGGAGTATCGCTTGAACCAGGAAGGCGGAGGTTGCGGTGAGCCAAGATCGCGCCATTGCACTCCAGCCTGGGTAACAAGAGTGAAACTCCGTCTCAAAAAAAAAAAAAAAAAAAAACAAAAAAAAAAAAAAAAAAAAAAAAAAAAAAAAAAAAAAAAAAAAAGACAAACGGGAGAGGCACAAACATGCAGGTCCTAAAGGATTAAGGGGAAGAAGTGGGCAGAGGAGCACTGCTTACGCACAATAGACCAGGAGCTCGGTGGTCACCTTTCGATGTCTCCTGCTGAGCAGATTCAAGGCCAAACAGGTGTAGTTCCCTTGGAGGTTTGGCGACATCAGCAACAGGGAGAAAGAGTTGACTGTCAGGTTGTGGCCGAAAAACTCGCTGCTGGAATTCAGGGCCTGGAACCACCATTCAACCATGGGGGGCGGCCAGGAGCTGCTATTGCAGCTGAAGTCCACCTGGGAACCCTTGGCTGCGTAGAGGGTGCCGTTGGGGAGTGTGCCGGTGGCCGAGATGTGAACCTCAATCTGATAGGGGCCGCCTGGGAATGACAGGGGGAATGGGATGGCATTAATCATGTAAGAGTTCATTCAATTGCCTTACCAACGCCAACAGACATATAAGCTATTATAGATCAGGAAACAGCCAATGAAGCGTATAGAATCTACCTAATACTATGTGACAAATGCTATGCCAAGTGCCCTGATACATCATTTCATTTAATCCTGGGTGACTATGTGAGATTTCATTAGGGGATAAATCCTTACAGAACAGGAAAAGTATACATTGCTTCTTAAAAAAAAAAAAAAGGCCGGGTGCGATGGCTCACGGCTGTAATCCCAGCATTTTGGGAGGCCAAGGCGGGTCAATCATGCGGTCAGGAGATTGACAGCATCCTAGCCAATGTGGTGAAATCCCATCTCTACTAAAAATACAAAAATTAGGCCGGGCACAGTGGCTCACATCTGTAATCCCAGCACTTTGAGAGGCCAAGGTAGGTGGATCACTTGAGGTCTGGAGTTCGAGACCAGCTTATCCAACATGGTGAAACCCCATCTCTACTAAAAATACAAAAATTAGCCGAGCATGGTGGTGCACGTCTGTGGTCCCAGCTACTCGGGAGGCTGAGGCAGGAGAATTGTTTGAACCCATGAGGTGGAGGTTGCAGTGAGCCAATATCACACCACTGTACTTCAGCCCAGGCGACAGAGCAAGACTCCAGCTCAAAAAATTAATAAATAAGTAAATAAATAAATAATACAAAAATTAGCTGGGTGTGGTGGCACGTGCCTATAATCCCAGCTACTCATGAGACTGAGGCAGGAGAATCCCTTGAACCAGGGAGTCAGATGTTGCAGTGAGCTGAGATCACATGACTATACTCCAGCCTCGCGACAAAGGAAGAATGTCTCAAAAAAAAAAAAAAAAAAAAAAAAAAAAAAAGGCTGGATGTGATGGCTCACACCTGTAATCCCAGCACTTTGGAGAGACCAAGGTGGGTGGATCACCTGAGGTCAGGTATTCGAGACCAGCCTATCCAATATGGTGAAATGCCATCTCTACTAAAATTACAAAAATTCACCGGGCATGGTGGTGTGCGCCTGTAGTCCCAGCTACTCAGGAGTCTGAGGCAGGAGAATCGCTTGAACCTGAGAGACAGAGGTTGCAGTGAGCCAAGATCATGCCACTGCACTGCAGCCTGGGCGACAGAGCAAGACTCCGTCTCAAAAAAAAAAAAAAAACAACCGCAAGGGCTAGACATAGTAGCTTCATGCCTGTAACCCCAGCACTTTGGGAGGCTGAGGTAGGAGGCTCACTTGAGGCCAGGAGTTCCAGACCAACCTGGAAAATATAGCAAGACCCCATCTCTATGAAAAATTTAAAAATTAGGGCTAGCATGGTGGCTTACACCTGAATTCCCAGCACGTTGGGAGGCCAAGGCAGGCAGATTACTTGAGGTCAGGAGTTTGAGACCCACCTGGCCAACATGACGAAACCCTTTCTCTACTAAATATACAAAATTAGTCAGGTGTGGTGGCATGCCTGTAATCCCAGCTGAGGTGGGAGAATCACTTGAACCTGGGAGGCGGCGATTGCAGTGAGCCGAGATCGTGCCACTGCACTCTAGCCTGGGCGAGAGTGAGACTTCATCTCAAAATAAATAAATAATTAACTGGGTGTGGTATCACGTGCCTACAGTCCCAGCTACTTGGGAGGCTGAGGTAGGAGGCTGGTTTGAGTCTGGAAGGTTGAGGCTGCAGTGAGCCAGGATCTTGTCCTTGAACTCCAGCCTGGGTGACAGAGTGAGACCTTGTCTCAAGATAAAACACTGCAGGATGGAAAGTATTTCTGTGCAGTGAAGAATTAACACAGCAGTCCTGGGACTGCTCTCCTTAGAAAGACCTGCTTGCAAGGCTGGCCCTTGGCTGCTGTCTGGGAACTTGGATTTCAGGAGGATTCCCATCATTCCTTGAACTGAGAGGAGTGGCTTGCTGTGCCTAAGCTATGCAAACAATGTGGTTTAAACTTGGCTGGGGCTCGGTGGCTCCTGCCTAGAATCCCAGCACTTTGGGAGGCTGAGGTAGGTGGAGTTTGAGGTCAGGCGTTTGAGACCAGCCTGCCCAACATGGTGAAACCCCATCTCTACTAAAAATACAAAAAATAAGCCAGGCATGGTAGTGGACGCCTGTAATTCCAGCTACTCCGGAGGCTGAGGCAGCAGAATCGCTTGAACCCAGGAGGCGGAGGTTGCGATGAGCCAAGATTGCGCCATTGCACTCCAGCCCGGGCAACAAGAGCAAAACTTTGTCTCAAAAGAAAAAAAAATGTGGTTTAAACGGAACTTCTGCTTTCTGAGAGGCAGGAATTTGGTAAGTGCAAAGCAGAAAGCACCTACATGATAAGCCCCGACAAAAAACCTTGAGCAAAAAAAAAGTCTCCAATGAGTTTCCCTAGTAGACATTTGATGTGTGTTGCCACAACTCATTTCTGGACATCGCATCCCATGCAACTCTGCTAGAAGACTTGGAAGCTTGCACCTGGTTTCCCTGGGTTTCTTCCCATGAGCCTTTTCCCTTTACAGGTTTTGTTTTGTATCCTTTTCCTGGAATAAATCATCCTACGTGCTGAGTCTTATGAGTCCTCTTAGCAAATCGTCAAACCATGGGGACCCCCAGCACAATATCATACTAAAAAGCAAGAAATGGGGCCAGGCGCAGTGGCTCACTCCTGTAATCCCAGCACTTTGGGAGGCCGAGATGGGTGGGTCACCTGAGGTTGTGATGTTCAAGACCAGCCTGTCAAACACGGTGAAACCCCATCTCTACTAAAAATACAAAAATTAGCCAGATGTGGTGGCATGCACGCCTGTAATCCCAGCTACTTGGGAGGCTGAGGCAAAAGAATCTCTTGAACCAGGAGGCGGAGACTGCAGTTACCTGAGATCATGCCGCTGCACTTCAGCCTGGGTAACAGAGTGAGACTCCCAAAAAAAAAGGAAGAAAAGGAAGAAATGAACTACTTGTCTGACTCTGGCCAAATGACCCTCCTCAGACTCCATTTCTTAGTCTATGAAAGGGGGTGATGGCAGTTCCCACTTCCTGGGATTGCTGCAGTAAAGCACTGGGAACGGTGGTCATGCTGGAAACACTTGATGAACTGGTGGGCCTCGTCTCAGTTCTCATTTCTCTTCACATTTCCTTTTCATTTTATTTTTTGAAATGGCGTTTTGCTCTTGCTTTCCCGGCTGGAGTGCAGTGGCGCTATCTCAGATCATTCTACCCTCCGCCTCCAGGTTCAGGTGATTCTCGTGCCTCAGGCTCCCGAGCAGAGTAGCTGGTACTCCAGGCATGCGCCACCACGCCCAGCTGATTTTTGTATTTTTAGTAGAGACAGGGTTTCACCATGTTGGCCAGGATGGTCTCGAACTCCTGACTTCAAATGATCCACCTACCGCGGCCTCCCAAAGTGCTGGGATTACAGGCCTGAGCCACCGTGCCCAGACTTCTCTTTACATTTCTGAACTTCCTTCTTGTCCCCTGAAATGCTCTCCGCTGTTGCTACCCAGTGCATTTAAGGTGCCACATACCATTGAAGAAAAGAATGTATCCCCCCAAAATATATACAATTATTACTTGTCAATTCAAACATTTCTATTTTAGTTTTTGTTACTTTTTTAAATTATGTATTTATTTATTTGAGATAGCGTCTCCCTCTATCAACCAGAATGGAGCGCAGTGACACAATCACAGCTCACCGTAGCCTCAAACTCCTAGGCTCAAGCAATCCTCCCACCTTAGCCTCACGAGTAACTGGGACTACAAGCGCACACAACCACACCAGCTAATTTTTAAATTTTTTTTTTGAGACACAGCTTCACTGATTACCCAGGCTGGAGTGCAATGGTGTGATCTTGGCTCACTGCAACCTCCACCTTCCGGGTTCAAGTGATTCTCCTGCCTCAGCCTCCTGAGTAGCTGGGATTACAGGCATGCACCACCACGCCCGGCTAATTTTGTATTTTTAGTAGAGACGGGGTTTCTTCATGTTGATCAGTCTGTTCTTGAACCCTCAACCTCAGGTGAATCCACCCGCCTCAGCCTACCGAAGTGCTAGGATTATAGGCATGAGCCACCGCATCCAGCCAATTTTTAAATTTTTTATAGAGACAGGATCTCACTTTGTTGCCCTGGCTGGTCTCAAACCCCTGAGTTCAAGCAATCCTCCCGCCTCAGCCTTCCAAAGTGCTGGAATTACAGGTGTGAGCCACCACACCTGGTCCAATAAAACATTTTTTAAAAGACTGTATCTAACAGCTGTTCATCCTGAAGTAATTTAGTGTGCTACCTCTCCCAGAGACTTCCTCTTTAAAAAATAAAAATAGGCCAGGCATGGTGGCTCACGCTTATAATCCCAGCACTTTGGGAGGCCGAGGCAGGTGAATCACTTGAAGTCAGGAATTCGATACGAGTCTGAGCAACATGGTAAAAACCCATCTCTACCAAAAATATGAAAATTAGCTGGGCATGGTGGCGGGCACCTGTAATCCCAGCTACTCGGGAGGCTGAGGCAGGAGGATAGTTTGAATCGGGAGGTGGATGTTGCGAGCTGAGACCGAACTACTGGACTCTAGCCTGGGCAACAGAGTGAGACCCTATCTTAAAAAATAAAGTAAAATAAAAAAAATAAATCCAGGAAGCACAATGTTTAGCCAAAAGAATAAAGCTATGGCTACAGAATTTTGAACAGAAATCAGCCAGCAACAAAAATTATTTGTGGGAAGAAACAGCGCAGATAGAGCCCCTCGAGGCACGGTACCTACTTCACCCATGTCCAAACCCATCGGATTTTAGAAATCATGGGTTTGGAAGGACAATGTTCTCATCAAGTTGCAGCTGGTTCCTAATAGTTTCAGGGATCTGTTGGAATCATGTTGCCTCCCACAAAGCATCCAGGGAAAAACTTAGATCATGGTTCGGGAGGTGCTCAAATGTCCCATTCACTGTTGCTGGCTAGTTGGTTAGGTATGCAGATCAGCAGGTC